ATTAAAGGGATCCCTGGGTAGCGCAGCGGTTTAGTGCCTGCCTTTGGCCCAGGGCGCGATCCTGGAGACCCGGGATCGAATCCCATGTTAGGCTCCCGGTGCATGGAGCCTGCTTCTCCCTCTGCCTGTGTCTCTGCCTCTCTCTCTCTCTGTGTGTGTGTGTGACTATCATAAAAAAATAAAAATTATTTTAAAGAAATGGATTAAAGGGGCAGCCCCGGTGACCCAACGGTTTGGCGCCACCTTCAGCCCAGGGCCTGATTCTGGAGACCGGGGATCGAGTCCCACATCAGGCTCCCTGCACGGAGCCTGCTTCTCCCTCTGCCTCTGTTTCTGGCTTTCTCTCTCTCTCTCTTCTCTCTCTCTCTCTCTCTCATGAATAAATAAAATCTTTAAAATAAATGGATTAAAGACCTGGGCACCTGGGTGGCTCATTTGGTTGAACATCTGACTCTTGATCTCAGCTTGGGTCTTGAATCAGGGTTATGAGTTCAAGCCCCATGTTGGGCTCTATGCTGGACAAGGAGCCTACTTAAAAAAAATGAATAAACTGGATTAAAGAACTAAATGTGAGTTCTGAAACCATAAAATCCTAGAAGAGAGCACAGGCAGTAATATCTCTGACATCAGCTACAGGAACATTTTTCTAGACATGTCTCCTGAGGTAAGGGAAACAAAAGCAAAAATAAACTATTGGGACTGCATCCAAATAAAAAGCTTCTGCAGAATGAAGGAAGCAAAACTAAAGGCGACCTACAGAATGGGAGAAGATATTTTCAAATGATATATCTGATAAAAGCTTAGTATCCAAAGTCTAAAAACCGATACAACTCAACACCCCAAAAACAATCCAATTTAAAAATGGGCAAATAACATGAACAGACATTTCTCCAAAGATATACAGGTGGCCAACAGAGAGATGAAAAGATGATCAACAACACTGATCATCAGGAAAATGCAAATAAAAACCACAATGAGATAACACCTTACACCAGTCAGAATGCATAAAGTCAACAACACAAACAGGTATTGACAAGGATACGGAGAAAAAGGAACCCTCTTGCACTGTTGGTGGGAATGCAAACTTAGTGCAGCCACCCTGGAAAACAGTGTGGGGGTTCCTCAAAAAGTTAAAAATGGAAGTATCCTATGCTGTAGTAATTCCTCTTCTGAGTATTTTACCCAAAGAATACAAAAACAGTAATTTGAAACGATATATGCACCCCTATGTTTATTGCAGTGTTATTCTCAATAAAATTTGTGGAAGTAACCCAAGTATTATCAACTGTTGAATGAAAAAAAAAATACACACACACTGGAATATTACTCAGCCATAAAAAAGAATGAAATTTTGCCATTTTGCAGCAACATGGATGGATCTAGACAGTCTAAATACTAAGTGAAACAAGACAGAGAAAGACAAATACCATATTTCACTCATATGTAGAATTTAGGAAACAAAACAAAAAAACAAGACAAAAAACTCTTAAATACAGAAAACAAACTTGTGGTTCGCCCAGAGGGGCACATACAAAAAAGATACCCAAAAGTTAGTTGGAATTCTGGATTTGGGGCTTTGGGAATGTGCTTGTAACAAACCCTACAGGGAATTCTCATCAGCAGGTTTGGGAGACAGCCTTAGCTATTATCTGTATCTCTAGAGCTGGGTCTTAGGTGTCTGCTATATTACCATGATATTCGTAGTGTACTATATTATATTCCTATAAGTGATGTTGAGTCCTTCTCAGTGCATTGGATCAGAAAGCACATAGTATCATTTTACCCCCTTATTGGTAATAAGGGGACAAGTTGGATCACTTCATGAAGTCTTTTCCACTGTAAAACGCCTTCCTTCTTTCTTTTTTTTTTTTTTTTTTGTAACTATTAAGGTCATCCGTGGGGCGATACTTAGAACCTTTGTCTGATAGTTCTAGCATCCACTCCTACATTCATTTGGTATTCTGTAGAGAAGAGCTCCTTTTTTTCCTCCACATTCCCATTTTATTTCCTTCTCATAGCACTCTGGTCTCAGATCTCTTATTAACATCAATGTGTTACAACACATGAATGTCACCGTGAGTATCTGTTTCATACCCTTGTGAAGGGAGAGCCCCCATTCCACAATATCATTCTAGCTGGGGGTCTTAATTCTACTGAGGTTTATAATTACCTACCTCTCAAAAATAATGCATTTATTGTTTGCCTCCTATTGTTTACCTCCCTGAAAGACCAGGTGTATGTTCATTTGCAAATACTTAATAGACCCTCGGAGATAGGCCAGTGCTGTTGCTGGGGTCCCAGGCCATCTTTACGTTAGCTTGTGCAGTCTCAACAAGGACTGGCAAAGCTTCCAAGTCACTCACTTAACCAATATTTATTGAACTTTTATGATCAATGAGAGAGTCAAGAAGCTGAAGTAGGCCAAAAGTATCTATTTTCCACACATAATTTTTTCTAACTCCCACAGCATTTCATTCCACACGAGATATCTTTTGTTTCTGTTTCCAAGGCAGGGACTATCTATAGACAGTCTTAAATACGTATTTGAAAGAACTGTGAAGTTCTCCAACAATACAGAATAATAGCTCACTCAAAAAAGTAACAGAAACCAGATAAATACCTATCACTTCTTAGTAAATGAATATTTAAAATGGTCTCTTAATGGGGCACCTAGGTGGCTCAGCAGTTGAGCAGTTGCTTTTGGGTCAGGGCATGAGCCCAGGGTCCTGGGATCAAGTCTCACATCAGGCTCCCCGTAGGGAGCCTGCTTCTCCCTCTGCCTGTGTCTCTGCCTCTCTCTGTGTGTCTCTCATGAATAAATAAATAGAATCTTAAAAAAAAAAAAAAAAAAGGTCTCCTAAAAATAGGGAACCAGACAGTGTGTTACAAGGTGGCCTGACTGGTCTCATGACCATCTCCTGTTAAGTGAGGAGGTGCTCCCACCCAGTCATAGCTGAGGCCAGACTGCCAAAAAACCAGTCCTCTTCCTTGGAGAGGCAAAGCTGAGCCCACTTTCTTTCCATTTTGTCTGTTCCAAAGCCCTACAGTTTTGTTGGAAGATCCAGATTCCTCATCAAAGCTGATGTGGCCCCTTGACCTGGCTTCCCACTTCTAGTCTGGATCTACCCATTGTGCTGGGGAAGAAAAAAAATCTTTTCTTCTACCTATCTCACGTTCTCCATGTGCAGCCCTGTAGATTTGGCTGGCCAAAGACAGATTGACAGGAGAAAAACAAACATAAGCTTATCAGCATGTGCATTACGTAAACACCCAGGAGCAGGAGTACCCAGAGATGAGTAACTCAAAGTGGCGGTTAGACCTTGAGTTTATATATCCTCCTAGGCTAAACCAAACGAAAGGTGTTGGGGCTTCTAGCTAGGGAGGCAAGTTATGCGAAGGTGACCAGAAGTATGGTAAACAAAAGTTGTTCAGTAATGTCTTATAGTCAGACCTGCCAGGAGAGGAAAGATTTCTACAGATGGAAGTGCCCTTTTAAGCCTAAGTTTCCTTTACAAAGGGAAAACTCGTACCCTATTTTTACAGCTTTTCCTGCTTCTGCTGTTTTCTCAGTGCCCTTTAGCTCAAAATAATCTATAGATTATTACTTATAGGGTGTGTGTGTGGGGGGGAGGGTGGCAAATTCTAATGCCCCTCAGCAGCTCCTCTCTGCTCCACCCGCACTGGACTTGCTATTCTGTGAACTGTCCAAGTGGGCACCTACCTACCTACCTCAGAACGTCCGTACTTTCTTCTCCCCCAGATCCATTACTCGTTAGTATTTTCGTGGCCTCAACTCAGATACCCTGTCACTGGTTGCTAAACGTGCTTTTCTTCACAGCACTTACAACCATCTAAAAATCACTTCTCTGAAAGTGGCTGAGATGACCACTGGGTTCATCACGTGTCCCAGTAACATCAGCGGCCCCCTGGAGCGGGGGGGGGGTTTGTGAGTACCTGGGGCAGAGAGGGCACTCCTTCCCCACTTAGTGTCCTCCAAGAGGTACGCAGCTGGGAGCGGCACGGTGAGAACTCTGGAAGCACCACACCCCAAGACTCGTGCATCTGCTTTCAGGGCCTGTCCTGCGGGCAGATCGGCCCTCCGTGTATTCGGGACCTTCACGGCCCGTCGGCCAAGGACTGCCCAGTGCGAACCTGCAGGGGCACAGAATTAGGTTTGCTGACCCCCGCCAGGACCTAACCGCAGGCAATGGGGCCACCGGGCACCCGGAGGACGCGGGGGAGGGGGGCAGGATGAGCTCCCCTGAAGCCGTATCCCCAGGCTCAGGGCGCAGCGGAGCCGCCCGCCAGGTGGGCCCGGTGCACTTTCCTCGGGCCGCCCCCCCCCCCCCGCGTTAAGCAGATGTGGGCGGCGGTGTCCGGAGGGCCCGTGTGGGCTCGCTGCACCCGGGAGGCGCGGAGGGGGCTGCGTCTCTGCCACTGTGACCCAGATGCTCGGCCGGGGCGGGGGGGTCGGGGCGGGGCAGAGGGAGGGCCTGAGACACAGCGAACCAGGGTTCCCGCGGGGTTTCGTCGTGACGCCCGGGGGCGCCGGCCTGTCAGCCCCTCCGAGGGCGGCGGGCACGTCTCTGTGGGAACTGTTCCCCGCAGGGCCACGCCGCCCTGTTCGGGACGGAGCCCGCTTGGGAGCCCGCCTGGCGTCCGCAGCCCTGGGGCCGCCCCTCGCGGCGCCGGCGGCCCGGGGGCAGGGAGCCGCGGGGCGCGGGGCGCGGGGCGCGGGGGTCGCGTCTCCGCCGGCCGAGCCCTCGCGCTGCCGTCCGCCCCGCCGGCCGGGCTCGGCCGCCTCGGGGCAAACCTCGCCGCCGCTCGGGGCTCCGCCGTCCCCCCCCCCCCCCCGGGAGGCCGCGCCCCACGCCCGCCGCTCGGAGGGCCTCGCGCCTCGGGCCGCCCCGCGTCCCCGGGCCCCGGAAGGCGGCCCCGCCCCGGCCCACTGCGCAGGCGCGGCCCGTGCCCGCAGAGCGCCGCGGCGCCGGGCGCTAGAGCGGCGGCGGCGGCGGCGGCGGCGGCGGCGGCGGCGGCGGCATCCTCGGCGTCCGCGCGTCCGCCCGGCCCTGCGTCTCCTCCTCGCCGGCCGGCGCGATGGCGAAGCCGCTCACGGACAGCGAGAGGCGGAAGCAGATCAGCGTGCGCGGCCTCGCGGGGCTGGGCGACGTGGCCGAGGTGCGGAAGAGTTTCAACCGGCACCTGCACTTCACGCTGGTCAAGGACCGCAACGTGGCCACGCCCCGCGACTACTTCTTCGCGCTGGCTCACACGGTGCGCGACCACCTGGTGGGCCGCTGGATCCGCACGCAGCAGCACTACTACGAGCGCGACCCCAAGGTGAGGGGTGGGGCGGCGGCGGGCGGGTGGGCGGCCCCGGGGCGGCCCCCCGCGAGGAGCCGGCGGGGCGCGCTCGCGCGGTCGTCTGCACCGGGCCCCGGGGCCCGCCTCGGCGCCCGCCTCGGCGCCCCCCGCGCGCGCCGCTGACCGCAGGCCCTTTGCACTGCGAGCTTGGGCTTGCGGGGTCCCGCGGGCCTAGCGGCAGTTTCCAGCGCGTCGCGGCCCTGCGCTTCCGCGAGGGCTGCGCGGTCGGTGCTTCCTCCGCCCCTCCCCGCCCCCGCGCCCCACCTTTTGTTTTCCTGCGACTCTGGGGGAGAGAAAAGGGGACTGGAACCAGGCCTGGGCAGTCTTGTGTCGGAAAAGGGTGAGCCCAGTCGATGGCAGGGAATTGTGGGGCCTTTTGTGGCCAGGCAGCGGTCGGAAGAGAATCCTCGAGGATGCCTGCTCAAGCGGGACGGGTCGGGAGCTCAGAGAAGGGGCCCTGGAGGAAGGCTCTGTCTTCAGGGGTCCCACACCTTCCTGACCAACGCTGTTGGGTTAAAGTTCACGGAGATTACGTAATTAATCATGGAGATTGTTACTTTTCATGTTTTGCAGAAATTTAGGCTTACGGCGGAAAGAAACAAAATAGGCAAAAGTCACTGATGTGACTCCATCACTCTTAGCTATATTAAAATAAAGGTGTTTGTCCTCAGATGCAGATTTTTTTTCCAAGTCCTTTTCTATTCTTAAACGTACATACATATTTTTAAAAGTATGCTGCATAGACATATACAGCTTTGTGATTTTTCTGTTTCATTCATGGACGTTTGCGACTTTTTCAGTAGCTTTCCAAGTTAGTAGATAGGCGTCTCCGATACCGTTTGTAGTTTGATAGACCTATCATAGTCTTGGCCACCCATCTTCTGCCCGTTTGGGGTTTTACTTCTTGCTCTTGACATACAGAAGATTGTCCTTTCTACGATACTAAGGTAGAGTGACTGGTGAACAAAGGACATACTTGCGTGCCTGAAACCAGTTTGCAAAGATTTGATTTGCAGTATACACGTAGGCAGTGGATAGTTGCTTTGTTGATACTATTTTAGAGTATTTTCATGAGGAATTAAGAAATCGTTTACTAATTGCTAAGAGTGAGATGGACTTCTTTTTCAGATTTACTCTGGGGTACTTTTTTTTTTTTTTTTTCCCCCTTCAAAAATAGAGATGGTAAGAAGGACAGATTTGTTTAGAGTACTAGCTGGACTGCGTCACATTTAGTATGCAAGACAGCATAGAACAATGTGGCCCCAAATGGATAAAGCAAGTTTTTACAGTAGGCGCTTAGGATGACTTTGCCAGGGACACTGGCCAAGAGGCAGTGGCTCCCCCAGAATTCCCTGCTGATGGCAGAGCTCTGGTTTGCAACATCATTTTTGTTGTCAGTGTAGCAGACGACAAGGGTACAGCTGTGCCTGCACATTCAAGGACATTTCCCTGGACCTGGACCAGGACACACCCCAAAATCTTGTGGTTCCCGTTAGAGTGTTTATGTATAATTAGATCCTGAAAAGGACAGTGAGGCTCAGGGAGTACAGAAATAATCTTTCATGAACAAAATTAATCCCTCTAACAAAACGACTTTCCCAATCCTCAGTGAGAGGTCTGAGTGATTGCTGTGGTGGCTACAGGCAGAAAATTTTGTCTTTTAAAGAAACCACACAGCCTATTAGGGGAAGGTGGTTTGTCTGTTCTGGATAGGAAGGCCATTTTAAAAAGGAAAATTGGAAGTTAAGTGCTTCAGTCTGGCTGATTCACTTTGAAAAATAAGCTCCTCCGCTCCTTTTTCTGCAGAAGTCACATGTTTGCTTGGAATGGACCAAAAACAAGCCCCATAAGGGTCAGAGCCTGATAGGAGGTAGACTCTCAATAGCAGTCCTGCAGAGCTGCACCCCAGCCTGGGAATGACCTCAGCGACTTGTACCACTGCACTTCTCATTAGGGTAGCTGAATGATCTAAATTTAATAAATTAGAGTGCGTTTACTTAATTACTTAATTTTTTTGTCTTTCAGGCAGTTACACAAGTTCTCATGATTATTGGAGGAAAAATTGGAAAACAGATAAGCAGGAAGGAAATATTTCATTTTAATCTCTCTTGACAGCTAGTAATAACATGATAAATGCTATAAACATTTTGTGTCCTACATCTTTTTTCTACACTGATAGAAACACCATTTTTATTATACAAAATAGTATCCTGCTGTACCTATTGTTTCAGAACCCATTTAGCCTTCTATTTTTGGCAGTAGCAGAAGCAAATGAAACTTGTGTTCAGGGGAAGATTTTTCAGGCAACCAGCTTGGCAAATCAGGTAAAAAAAAAAAAAAAAAAAAAAAAAAAAGAAAAGAAAAAAAGAAAATCCTGGCCAGATTGAAAGTTTAGTACTTGGTAGGAGGCAGTGCTTAGTTATAAAGATGGTTCAAGGATTCTCTGAGGTGATGGCAAGGTCAGGAGTCTGGGATGATATTCTAGAGCTGGAACCCCACTCTAAATTCAGGAACGGAAGAGAGCTGGATGGTGAGGGATGACTTAATGACTAAAGCTCCTATAGTCCTGTCTGTATTGGTCCAAGGACTTGGCTGGATTTCTTAATCTTGCTTGGCTTCAGTTTTTTCATCTTTAAAATGAGGGTGGTGGAATAAGGTAACCCTTCCTTCCTTCCTTCCTTCCTTCCTTCCTTCCTTCCTTCCTTCCTTCCTTCCTTCCCTCCTTCCCTCCTTCCCCCTTTCTTTCTTTAGATTTTATTTATTCATGACAGACACAGAGGCAGAGACATAGGCAATGGGAGAAGAAGTAATCCATTTCTGAGGTCCCTTGCCATGCTAAAAAGTTGTGGCGTATTGTTTGCTTACAAAATGTTTCCATTTTATTTTGACATTCCACCTGTACCCTCAGAATCAAAAATGCTTAGGCAAGTCATGACAAAGAAGGTTCAAAGTAATAGACCTCAAAGAGAAGACTGGGGCCAGAGAGTAAGGGTAAGGAACAGGTTGCATTTGAGGGCAAGGTCAGGACACAAAGTGCAGACATTATGTTCTGGCAGCCAAAGCAAATGGCAGCTCATGTCCACTTGTGGGAGTCATGGGATCTCTGTGATAATTGCTAGAATGAGCAGGTGTGAGATATTTTCTGTGGGACTTTAAAGTGGATAGTATAGAATACGGACAGCTGGCCTACTACATTCCTGCAGTGGATGCAATAGTCTGCTTACCAGGGCTTTTTCCCATAAGCTCATGGCATAGCTATGGTGGTAGATTAAGGAAAGACAGCTCCACTGTGGGCTCAAACTGCAATCTGAAATCTTCCTTTTCTTTTCTTTTTTTTCTTTTCTTTTCTTTTTTCTTTTCTCTTTTCGTTCTGTTCCGTTTCGTTTCGTTTCGTTTTGTGTCTTTTTTCTTTTCTTTCCTTTCCTCTTTTTCTCTCTCTCTCTGAGAGAGGCAGAGACAGGCAGGAGAAGCAGGCTCGCTCTCAGGTGTCTGATGCAGGACTGGATCATAGGACCTTGGGATCACGCCCTGAGCCGAAAGCAGATGCTCAACTGCTGAGCCAGCCAGGCATCCCTGAAATATTTCTAAAAAGATAATCATAATGAATATGATTAATTTTATGGTTTGGCTGGGCCCACGAATTGAAGGTGATCTAATTTAGAGCAGTATTTTTGCAGCCTTGGCTGCCCACAGCCCACACTTAATAGATTTTCTTTTAGTAATTTGACCAGCCAGTGGAATCTTTTTAACACACCCAGTTTTGATGTTTCCATTTGTCTTGTGAAGTTAACCTTGTATCCCATGAGCAGACTTCCCTGACACTAAATAGTTCAGTTATTTTCTCTGGCTGGAAGCTTGATGACAGATGTTCTGTGTTGCTGATTAACCTGACGGCTCACCAAGTGGAAGGTAGGATTAAGCCATCATTTTACGAGATTAAGAAGCCTCTCAGACTGTGTGCCATGATTTTTCAAACAAGACAGTATAGCTCTCTTCTTAAGAGCTGTGATGGTTTATTTACTGTGTCACCTTGTCTGGGCCACAGTGCCCGGTTATTTGATCAAATACTATTCTAGATGTTTCTGTGAAGGTGTTTTTTAGATGAGATTAACATTTGAATCCGTGTTAAACGGGTTACTCTCTGTAGTGTGGGTAGGCTTCGTCCAATCTGTTGAAGACCTTAATTGAACAAAGACATACCCCCTACGTACCCTCCACAACAACCCCTCCCAAGCAGGAAGGGATTCTGCAGGCTACTGCCATTGAACTGCAAATACAGTCCTCCCTCCCTCATCAGATTTTAGTCTCAGACCTCCACAATTGTGTGAGCCAGTTCCTTAAAATAAATCTATATATACATATCCTGTTGATTCTGTATCTCTGATTAATATCCAGGTGCTATGGATGGCTGCAAGGACCATTTGTATTTATGAACTACCGTAACTGACCTTACTTCTGAATCCCAGCCCTTTTTAAATGACTTTTTAAAAAATTCTATTTTATATGACAGCAGACTTTTTTTTTTTTATTTTTATTTATTTATTCATGAGATAGAGAGAGAGAGAGGCAGAGACACAGGCAGAGGGAGAAGCAGGCTCCATATAGGGAGCCCGACCTGGGACTCGATCCCAGGTCTCCAGGATCACACCCTGGGCTGCAGACGGCGCTAAACTGCTGCGTCACTGGGGCTTCCCGACAGCAGACCTTTTTTTTTTTAAAAAAATTTTTTTTTTCCGACAGCAGACTTTTAAAAATTGCAAAAATAATACAATAAATTCCTGCTCTTCATGCAAATTCCCAAACATTAAACATTTTAACACGTTTGTTATGTCTCTTTCTATACATATTAGTACATTTTTTTCTGTGAACCATTTAAAAATAAGTTGCAGACTTGATGCTCCTTTACCCTTAAAAATTTTGAGTGTGTGCTTCTAAAAATCAGGGAGACTCTTGGACAAACACCATGAACGCTTAAA